AATTATATATATATATAATTTTTATTACAGAAAGTTTTAAGAGAATAAGAACAAAACAAATTTTGAAAGAAAAAAATAAAGTAAAGAAAAGTAATGTGAAAAAAGTACAAAGAAAGAAATAGAGAAGAAAAAGAAAGAAAAGGAAAAAAGAGAAAAAGTTATAAAGCAGGAGCTTCCGATCTTCATGACAGCAGTTACAAGTACATGTATATTTTACCCTCTCTCTCTAAGGTCACAACATAATTTCCTTCTTTCCATAATCTACCCTTTTTAATCATCAAACCCATAAATCACAAGTTCATATTTCGCTTTTTTCAGCAAAAAGTCTGTAAGGGGATTCCAGTCACTAATAAATGTGGTGATGTCCTTTCTTTAATCAGACAAGTCAGTTTTGCTCTCTCTTCTAATTCTGTCATCTTCACCAGCTATTACTGTATTGTGGGTATTTCAGATACTTTCCATTTTTGTCCATATAATAATATTGCAGCAGTTATATATAATAACAATCTTCCATGATTATTTTCTAATTGTTTATCCATTAGACCCAACAAGAAAAGTTCTGGTTTCAACTGAATATTAATCCTTATTTTTTTTTGTTTTTTCTGTGTGTATTTGAACCCAAATTTTTCTGACTTTTTTGCAAATCCACCAGGCATGATAAAATGACCCTTTGTTTTTTCCACATTTCCAACACAAATTTGAAGTACTTTTATACATTCTAGATAATTTTTCTGGAATCATGCACCAATGATACATAATTTTATAAAAATCTCTTTTAAATTATAACAAATGTAAATTTCAGTCCTTTCAGCCACATGTTTTCCCATTGTTCCATCATTATATTATGTCCAAAGTTTTTAGGAATTTTTCTTATGTTTGCTTCAATGAGAAAGTTAAGGACTCGGCTTTAACTGGGCCCCTGAACACGTGGAAAGCTCTACTTGTGCTCAAGACCATTTGTCTAAAATTCCACTGCAGACCCTGCCATTCAACCTGGCAAAGGGAATGAGGCTCATGTATGGGGCTTGTGTATCTAAGGCAGTGTTTCTCAACCTTGGCAACTTTAAGACATGTGGACTTCAACTCCCAGAATTCTCCAAGCAGCATGCTGGCTGGGGAATTCTGGGAGTTGAAGTCCACATGTTTTAAAGTTGCCAAAGTTGAGAAACACTGATCTAAGGACATCTACTGTGGGGCATTGTGCATAGTGCAGATCCCTACTTTAGTCCACACAACAGAAGTCCATTTTTTTTTAACTTCTATGAAGTGATAGACCTTATCAGCCCAAGGTTATAAGATGAAAATAGGAAAGAGAGATGAACAGCTAAGAAGTGCAAGGACAGTTCTATTTCCAGCTGGAATTTGAGAATGTGGGGAAATAGAAGAATGAAAGGTTAAGGAGAAAGGGGTCATTCCTTTCTTTCCACCAGGAAGTTGATATCATTATTTCAAAAAGCAATTACTCGAAGAGACACCAGTTTTTTAGTGAACACATCCCAGTTCATGCTCCGCCAGTGCTAATCCTGCTTAGCAACACAAAAGGCAACATAGCCAGCAGAGGCTGACTTCTACAGCAACCTTTCTTTTTGTTTCTCTACAGTCCCTCCATTGTTTTGGATCAATACTGTACTGACTTTTTCCTTTTTCACTGGAGTTTGTTACAAATATGTAAGCTGTGATAATTGAACCACATGTTTTGATTTCTACCCTTCTTTGCATTTTGACCCTCTTGGTAACCTTTAGAACTTGGCAAAGATCAAGTATCAAAAAGTTTAAGAATCTCTGATCAAACTCCTTAGGTTAATCAACATATAATTAAAATAGGTTGAAAACAACTTCTGATGTTTTGTGAGATGGGAGATAATAGTAAAGTATATATATATTAAGGTTTATTTACTGAAAATCGTGTTTATCCTATCTTTCCCACAGATTCCGATCAGGGTAGCTGACATAATTTGAAAAAATGTTATGCAGTCATCCAATATTATCATAGACCTTCAGGAAGTATCTTAATACTTAGTACTAACTGCTTTGTAAATATGCTCAAACAGAGTAGAGATCTATGTTCCAATTTTAAAATCCAGCTGCAAGCCAAGCTCTGGCCTTAAGTCCTTCCAGTTTTCAGGCACTGAGCCACTGAGTCTTCTTTCACCTTAGTTTGAACCTGACTATAATTTTTGTTAAGTGGGATATGTGCTCTCGCTTTCTTACTCCTTCTGGAGCATTTAAGCAACACTCCTTAGTTACAGAAAGAAGTAATGATTAAAAATGTTAACCCACTCAGTATTAAAGGAAGTAGAATTTATATGTACAGTAACTCTGAAACCTTATCTGCAAACAGATTTAAGGGAGGCATTTGGAATTGCCTTAAGCAGGAAGGAGGGATATTCTTTCCATGTACCTCTACTCCCATTACTTCTAGGGAAAGACATCTGGCACAAGGCATCAAAAACATGTAAGATCCCAGTTTTAAAGGTTTCAGATATTTAAGGATGTCGCAACATGGTTGATCCATATCTGTCTTCCAAGACTGGCATCAAGGTCCAGGGTCAGAGCAATTACATAAGGATTCAGGCCAGGAGTCTAGCTAAACACCACACACTATTCCCATCATGGAATTATATTAAGATCCTAGATAAACATCTATTTTACCAGATCCATCCTCCCTCCTCTCTCCCTTTTAATTAGAACACTCAGATCTACCTACAGCAGCCTAGTGTGAAAGCCACACACTTAGGAATGAGCAAAGGAGTTTGTTTTGAGAAGCTGAACTGAATAAAGAAAATAAAATTCATCATTTTTTTTTAAAACCCACTCCTGATTATCCTATACTTAACACTGTTTAGAAAACAAGAATTTGACCAACTGTCTCCTTAAAGAGGAAAACACAGAAAAACCTGTCTCTGCCCATAACACAGCCCTGCCCACTTTGCAATATTGTTTTGCCAGTTCAGTTTTTATCCTTGAAAAGTCGCTCAGACCTGATTTAAGACCAGGATGCATGGGGGAACCTCACTTTGTTGATATTGCAGGAAAAGAACTGATACTAAGAATTTGTATACAGATTTGGGTATATTGGAGGTAAGATCTTCTCAGTATCACTCTCAGACAGATGGATTATCTGAGGGAGACACTGGAAAATATGTTAAAGAAGAAAGCACAAAATGACCCCCAAATTTTGGGACAGATAGCTTCCCTATATACTCTTTGCATATAGAGAAGTGCCACAGATGTCCAGGGGATACAGTCCTTTTGGCTTACTACATGGGAGAAAACCAAAGGGGGTCCTGGAACTAATGAAGTTCCAGGACCACAGAATCTGGTTGACTGTGTTCTCACACAAAAGAAAAGAAATGGCAAAATCTCAGTGACATATTGCAGGAACACCTGAAATTGGCACAAGACACACAATAGGACTGGCACAATATTAAGGCTCTCTAGAGGTGGGAGAAAAAGTGCTGCTTTTGTGCCAAGAATGCAAGCTTAAGCTAGGCGGCAAGGCTCATTTATGATGATCAGACAATGGAGTCCATAAACTACAAAACAGACTTGGGGAGTGGAGAAACCAAGATCTATCTCATAAAATTTT